TTGAATCTTCCCATTGATGTTTAGGTCTGTAATTGATCAGTTTCTTATTGGCATATGTGTATCCTGTGCGGATCACCTTGATATTGCCTTCAGTCACAGACATTATAAGCTGAGATGATTGTGGTTAACAATGGAATCAAGGACGCATGTTTCGTCCTATTTTGGACTCATCAGCTAATAGTCCATAATTTTATCATTTAAAGAATAGTACAAACTCAATATTTCACCATATTGTGAACTATTGTGATAAACATATCGTATTTTGTGGTAGAATATTTTTTTCTTTAATCAACTGTATCAATTATCTTGCCAGTGATTCTACCACAAATGCTAAATTCATGTAATCATTAGGTGATACCAGTTCAAATACTTTGGAATACATCTTCAAGTCAAATGCTAACTGTGGAAAAAAATAATGTTGATCTTTCTTGAGGTTTATATCTAACCAACTGGTATGTAGTTAACTGAGCTAACAGGAAGATTGTCTTACTAAATTACCTTGAATTCGTGTAACATTTATTCGACAAGGGATTTTTCCAGTCTATAGTTATTTGATAACTCCGCATGTAGCTCTTCTAGATTTACTGCCGGTCCCAAGCCCGGATAAAGGAGAAGGGTTGAGCATGGCTTTGGAAACCCCATCCCATATAGAAAAACATCCCGCCAAAAGACGCCAACCACGTTAAATAAGGAACGAGGTCAGACAAGGCTGTCTACTCTCACCCTTCCTCTTTCTTCTGATGATTGACTGGATTATGAAAACTTCGACATTTGAGTGGAAACATGGAATACAATGGACATCTCAGAAACAATTAGATTATTTGAACTCCGCAGATGACCTAGATCTCCTATATCTTACACATGAACAAATACAGACGAAGACAACAAATGAAGCACCAGCCTCTGCATTAATAGGCCTTAACATACACAAAGGAAAAAGTGAGATTCTCTAATACAACACGGAGAACACCAACCCAATCACACTTGATGGCGAAACCCTGGAAGAGGTGGAAACATTCAAGTACCTGTGAAGCATCATTGATAAACAAGGAGGATCGGATGCAGATGTAAGGGCGAGGATCGGCAAAGCAAAGACGGCATTTTTACATTTGAAGAACATATGGAACTCAAAACAACTCTCAACTAGTTTCAAAGTGATAATCTTTAATACGAACGTCAAGACAGTCCTACTGTATGGAGCTAAAACGTGGAGAACTACTACATCCATCGTCAAGAAGGTACAAGTATTTACAAACAGTTGTTTACGCAAAATACTCAACATTCACTGACCGGATACTATCAGCAACAGCGTTTTATGGGAATGAAGAAACCAGCTTCCAGTTGAAAAGGAAATTAAGAAAAGACGTTAGAATTGGATAAGACATACATTAAGGAAATCACTAAACTTCATCACGAGGCAACCCCTCATTTGGAATCCTGAATAGAAGCGGAAAAGAGGAAAAGTATGGATAACAACTGGAATGAACTGGAGAGGATTGCCCAAGGTAGGGTTGGATGGAGAGTACTGGTAGGAGGCCTATGCTTCTTCACGAGAGGTAACAGGCGTAAGGAAGTAATTTTTTAGTACTCTCTAAAGGAAGAGACTGAACACTTAAATATTGAATCTCTTAAACAAACATTTTATTAGAATAAATCAATAAAATTTAACTAAAATCAATACTTACAGGATATTATTATTATTACCATGGTACACATATAACTACTTCACTAAAGATTAATGGATTACAAAAGAGAGAGAGAGAAAGAGAGAGAGGGATAATTTAAAAATTACGGACAATCAAAACTGAATCTTGAAAAATATTATATGTGACGAAAAATACATATTCAAAAGAATATAGAACGGATCGAATAAGCTATGAAAGTATTATGGTGTGTGTTACTGATGTCGACAGATATAAGTAGTATGTATCATCAACCAAAAATGAAATGTCTGCTGACAGAAGGTTAATAAGATTAAAGAAAAGAGAACAAGTATAGAGAATGATTTGGTGTTGAAATGAAGGAACAATCAAGTATGAAACGATTGATTAATATTTTACAAATGAATTATTCACTGTATGGATCTTAGATTTGACTAAGATGTTCTGTAATTTTGTATTGAAATACATTCGATTTTCCTTATTTGTGTTCTCATTCACTACAATGTAGGATTGTATATTAAACTAAATTTGAAGTATAAAACACATATACTCATTTGTATAGACAAAATAACAACAGGTAGAGACAGGTGTCTACCTCAGTACATTGGAAGTTGGTTGCGCAATTTCGTGGATTGGTCGAGGTTAGACATTAACACCGTTGGATGCCAGCTCAGTGGTCTATCGGTTAAGGGCTCCGACTCGAGACTGGTAGGTCTTGGGTTCGAATCTCGCGAGAGCGGGTTCGTGGATGCGCACTGCTGAGGAGCCCCATGATAGGACGAAACGGCCGTCCAGTGTTTCTAGGTTCTCGATGGTGGTCTAGCCTCAATTGACTCATGATCTTAACTATAAAATTACCAAATCTCCACAAAAACCCCCCTTGTGATAAAACGTATTGCCTATTCTTGACCCAATTATTATAAATATTTTAATTTCAGATAGGTTACAGAAGGAATGTAATAAAATGAACGAATTAATTATCTTGATAGTTGAGATCATGAATCAATTGAAGCTAGACCACTATGGAAAATTTGAAAGCACTGGACTGCCGTTTCATCCTATTATAGGACTCCTTAGCAGTGCGCATCCACGATTCCGCATCGTGAGTTTCGAATCAAGGATCTATCAGTTTCACGCGCGAGCGCTTAAACACTACTATATTATCCACAAAACCCTTTCTGATAAAATTAATTATCTACCAAAAGATTAAATACCTCTGAATTTCTTTTTCTCTCTCTATTTCATTATTTATTAGTTTATGAGATAGCTAACTGATTCCTATTTGAAAACAGGGAGTTTTGTGGAGATTATAGTAATTCAGTGATTGAATTCATGAGTTAATTAAAGTTAGTCCGTCATAGAATACCTGAGATCACTGGATGACCGTTTCGTCCCAGTACGGGACTCCTCAGCAGTTCACATCCACGATCCCACTCGTGGGATCCAAATCCTAGGACCTTCAGTGTCGCTCTCGAACGTTTAATCTCTAGACCACCTCCTACAAGTTCTAGTTTAAGTCTGTCTAATAAGATACCTTTCTAAGAAGTTTTATATTCATCTTCTATTTAATTGTGTCTGTTAAGTGTTGAAAGTTTGTACAGCAATTTAAAAAATTAGAAGAATATGATAATTTGGAAAGTTTGTGAGAATAATTAAGTATATATATTAAATAAATATTGAGATGGTGGAGATTTGTAGCTCTAGTAATTGATTTTGATAAAGTTTTGTTCTCTGACATGACCAAACCATCCATCACATAAAATGAAACTCCATCAAAGTTAAATGGATGTTTTATTGTCTTCTCTCAGTTAAAATTGTAAGCTTGATATATCCCTTCCCCCCCCCCAGAAAAATACAATCTCATTTAAAACCATTAAGGTTAGATAATAACCCATGTTTAAATGATAAAAATGAACAGTGTAAGAATATTTGGTGTGATCGATCAAGAACAGGTAGAATCAAGTCAATGTCATGTCATTCTGATTAAGGTGATTTATGTGAGTGTCTGTGTATGTGAAGGATGAAAAAATGTGACATTTGTGATGTGAAATGATAGAGTTTAATTTGTATGTAAGATAATGGTATGAAATGTGATTAGAATCAGATATGATAGTTCGGATACATGGTCCAAATCAAATGGATAGTGTGTCCTCGTTTTCTATTGAGAGTAGTAGGATTAAACAATATATGGAAAGCTTCACCGATTCACTTTTCTTTCTAGTTGGAAAAGTCTTTTTCTATTATTTTGATGCTTTTATTACTGACTTGATGGTTATTGAAAATGTCATGGACTGCTATTATCAAGTTAATTTGAAGTCTTTTCAGATTTACAGGATTATTAGGCGGTTTGTTTTTATTCCTGAGATATTCTTTGACTCTAGGTAAGATTTCACAAGATGACTCTCCAATATAGAAGGCATCCTGATTTATAGACGCCATTCTGTATTGACATAGATTCTTTCTTTTATACGAACTAAAGCATTTCAAATAGTGTTAGTTGTTTAATAGTATGCTTTAATTCTGTTGTTTGGAGACTCTTTGGAGTTCTTCTATTGTACCATGGCGATATGGTAAAACTTCCCTATCGACCCATGGTATTTCATTCGGATTATTATTTAGCAGTAAAATGTCTTGTTTTATTGTACTTTTAACAATCTTCATAGGGAAAGTATTAAGTTGTAAGTTGTTAATCATATGCTTTCGTTCTATTCGTTCATCCTTTTCAGATGTAATAATCTTGTTTGATTTTCTAAAATGATTTAGCTCTAAAGATATTTTTGTACCGAATGGATTTGCTGAATTGAAGTCTACATAGCGATTTGAATGTGTTGGTTTACAGTAGATGGTTAGATATAGAGCTACACTTAGATTTCTTTTAACTAAACAATCTAAAAATGGTCGCTCACCGTGTTTGATTTCATTCTTGCATGTAAATTTAATGTGAGATGAGAGTGTATTGATCAGTTTAGAAAAAGATATTAAGTGAATCTTTTTTATGACAACGAAAGTATCATCTTCATATCTATTCCATATTCATGGTTTTGTAGTGAACGATAATACAAGTGGGGACAATCGGATGTATTTCAACACCTGCACTCCAGCAACCTGCTGAGCCATGTACATCCGATATCCGCTGAGCTGTGCACGTTCAACCCTCCCCTTCTGTCGATAGAACCAACTACAGCTAACACCACCCCACCAAAACATTCCACTCGACGTTACCTTCCAACACTAGACAGCCCCAACTAACAGCTGAACCCCAGGTCCACAACGGGACCTGCAAAACAGCACCCTTCCCCCTCCTGCTTGACAGCTACATCAAATGTAGTGAGCGAGAACTGTTATGTCTCGCAGGTTGAAACCCCAGGCTAGCACTACTCAGCGACTTGAAAGACCAGTAAGAAGACACGAGTAACGGAGAAATCACTTTACTACAAGGTTCATTATGTACAGAAAAAACAGGGGTTTTATAATAATTAAAAGACCTTCAGATTCCATAGTAGCAGTTTGTTTAACAGCCAATCAGGACCTCATTATTTTAGTAGCATAGCTTCTAACTAATCGCTGATTGGTTGGGCTCTTTATGAGCCTCTCTGAAGGCTTTGATAGAGTTTATTGTAAGCCGACCTAACACCTCCCCTTTTTTTGAAGATTCGAAGATTAGATTCTGATTTTTAAAAAATTATCTGTAAGTTGAAATTCTCCAACATTTCCTCCCCCACGAAATAATGTTGGATCTTCATATCTCCAATTTACAATTAATATGACTTTATTTAGAACACCTTTCTCGTATTGAATGCAGAATCCACTAGAAATGAATAGATGATGATGAACGATATTTGATTTCAGGTCATCGGAATTTGGCTTTTCTGAAACATCTCCATCAAATTCATTAAGATTTTCACTGGAGGATATTTGATAGCTAGGGGAATCATCATCTAATGAAATTGCCTTAGGTTTTTGATCAGCATTTGATTCAACCGACTTAGTTTCCTCATCTTCATAAGAATTTTCATCAAAATCATGTGCACCATTCCAGCTTTCTTGGCCGATATCATGTAACCCGTAGTTTAATTCTGACTGAAGTTTGTCTTCAGAAATCTTCGGATTGAGTGGTGCTTCATTAGACTCTGGGCTCAGGGCTTTGACTACGGAACCTTGTTTTTCTTTGACATCTGATACTGTCACAGTTTCATGTGCATTTAGCAAGATATTGTCTTGTTCTGAACCGGCCAACTTACCCATTTTGCCTTTTCCATCAGATGTGAAGGGAAATGAACCCTCAACTGGGCGTTCTTCTGAGACGGCCATTTTAGCACCATTATTGAAAAACTTGTCCAAGACTGTTTCAAAAAGTTGCTGCTGGGAGGCTAGCATCTGTTGTTGCCGGTGCTCTAAGATTATCAGCGCCTGTTCTAAAGAAATCGTCATTTTTTTCTGCTGATAATAATAATAACTCCGAAGATTCACCGGCAATTATTACAGCTTGTTTGATTCCCAAATCACGTCTCGGTTGCTGTATTTCTTTTTGCCAGAATCACCGACGACAATTGTTGTATTTTTTTGTGTACCAAAAACCCCGACAACAATTGTTTTTTTTGCCGAAATCCACGTCGCTACTGTTATGTCTTGTAGGTTGGCCGCTATATTCGGATCCTAGCTATTCGGATAACCCCAGGCTAGCACTACTCAGCGACTTGAAAGACCAGTAAGAAGACACGAGTAACGGAGAAATCACTTTACTACAAGGTTCATTATGTACAGAAAAAACAGGGGTTTTATAATAATTAAAAGACCTTCAGATTCCATAGTAGCAGTTTGTTTAACAGCCAATCAGGACCTCATTATTTTAGTAGCATAGCTTCTAACTAATCGCTGATTGGTTGGGCTCTTTATGAGCCTCTCTGAAGGCTTTGATAGAGTTTATTGTAAGCCGACCTAACAAGAACACTCACTGTTGATGGATGATACATACTACTTATTTCTGTCGATATCAGTATCACACACTACAGTTTTATGTCATTGGCGCAAACTTTGTAGTTTAGATGATAGTATTATTATTAGTATAAGTGACTTGTTATCACAATATACTTGTTTTGTATTTTATGCTTTGAATCAGTTGATACCATCTCAAGGGCTTAGACTGATTTGTACAGATCCAACTGACAAGTGGATGATTGTTTCCCTCAAGACCATGAATGACAACTGCTGATGCACATCAATTTAATCACATTCTAATTGAAGACTGTTCACTTTTTATAACATGATCACCTAGCTCAGTTGCTGTTCAATTATCTATCAATCGGACAACCTAGTTTTATACAAGATAAATGAGGAAAGAGATAAAACCAAGAATATAATCTGGATAATTAATGTATAAAAAGATTCTGAACTCTAGTTTCTAGCAGGAAGAATAGCTCATATTATAGAGCTGGATGATTTAGATTTCAATATGCCGAGGAGTATCAGTTCCTTAAAGATTACACGTATACCTCACCAATAAGGGCCAACTAGAACAAAACCCAGACACAATATTTCCTATCCCAACATTGTGTACCCGATGTCTAGTTAGTTAGACTAGTGACAACATTCCAATTTGATCGAAAGGATTTTAATCAGGTCTAAAAGAACTAAGAAAACTTGGGATTGATCATTACTCAATGATCAATAAGTTATAATGTAAATTACGTAGTTCAATTGTTTGATCAATGATTTGGTTATGTAAATATAACTTTGAATTGTGTAAATGCAAAGTATAGTTTATGAGTTTCTATTGTTCGGATTTCAAAGATCTGTCATAAGTTACAATTAGAATAACCTGCATAGTTTAAATCCCTTGTTATCAATAGTGATATAAAGCCTTCCAAACTTCATCTAACATCTTGGTGATTTTATTTACATAAGAAATTTTTTGTTTTTCATTACAGTAAGTATGTCAGTTTACTAACTGAACTATAAATAAATATTATTTAACAAAGATGGATGGTTGAATTCAAGACGTACGTTTCGTCTTGTTTGGGACTAGTCAGCTGTACGTACCCGCATCCCAGGGTTGATGATTACTTCAGGACTCAAACCACAGTACCGTTAGCTTCAAACACCATCGCGTTATACACCTAACTACTGATTCCAGACAGTCACTAGTTTGTATAATGGGGTGATTTTATAATTTATGTTTGTATTGTTTGTTTGAATCTTCTCATTCATGTTTAAGACTGCAACTGATCAGTCTCTTATTGGCATATGTGACCAATTACAGTCCTAAACATCAATGGGAAGATTCAAACAAGCAATACTAAGTGAATTTAAACTTTACCCCGTTGCACAAGCAAGTGGCTATCAGGACTGAGTAGCTGAGTGGATAACCCGATGGCGTTTGAAGTGGACAGTACTGGGTTCGAGTCCCAGATTGAACATCCACTCAAAGATGCAGGTACATCCAGCTGACGAGTTCAGAATGGGACGAAACGCGCGTCCTGAATTACACTGCTAACTACTATCCATCTTTGCTACCCATTGATGTTTAAGACTACAGCATTATATTATATATTATTTGGACATTATTATGTCCCCTTTCACTATGGCATTTACTGGGAACAATAATAATAACATAAGTACTTTAGTAATTGAATTTTTACATATTGTATAGAATTTGTTTTACAAGTAAAACCAAGGTCAACTTATGTCAGAGGGGGTCTAAATAAAAATAACCTATTATCTATGCTAAAAGATCATGTGATGATAGAAAGTGTAATCTAAAATTGACTAAAACTATTTATTGCTTAATTAATTTGGCAATTACTGTTTTTCTATCACTTTATATAAAAACAATAGGAATAATAACGGGGCGGATTTGCATGCATATAGCAAACAATTCTTTTTGAACCTAGCACACAGCAATACTGTCATACATTGTCAAGCAACCCGAAAGTCACACGAGAATACCATCAGGGCATACGACAGGCTAGGTACTCCAGGTTCACCAGGGTGCTTAGTACCTGTGTGGTGGATGGATCTGTACTGATTGGATTGTAGCGTTGAAGCTCATATAGTGTCTGGTTCTCCTATGAGGCGAGATTGAGCTGTACTGCTCGGGTTAAACCAGAGGGCGGTGTCTAGTTCTCCTGCTAAACGGGATCGAGCTTTACTGTTTTGGTTGTCACGTGAAAGTCTTGATGGTGCCTGGTTCTCCTGAAAACCAGTGCAAAATTACCCTAGCCCACAAGGGTATATTATATATAACTCTATCACTGTAGCATTTATTTAAACATCATAGAGTGAAATGATTTTCTTAAGGATAAAGTTTTCAGTAATTTCCTAGCAATAAGAACAGATAGAAATGCTGAATAACGAATTATGAAAAGAGCGATGTTGTGAATTTAAGCCCAACTTTTTATCACGTGATTTATTCACCAATCGAAATACGACTTATCCAATCTTAGCACTGTGCCAAACCAATGACGTTTGACCGATATGAGCAGCCTAGCATTCTTATTGGTTCTTTGTTCGCCTAGCCACTCCAGTTGAGTCCAGAACACCGATAACAGCTTCTACTATGCGAATCATTTATTTCAGAAATAATGGGTTTATATATCAACCAAAGAGACAGCAACGTACTATAAAATGTGAAATAACATTTATACAAGATTGTAAAGATGGCTCGTTGGCAGACTCTAGGAAGCCTTAAGAAGCTCAGGAAGAGCCACAGACATTCCATCCAATCACTGCTAGGGGAATGTTCTAAAATGTCGGCGTGTAGCTTCCCCATTGGATGGATAAGAATGACCCCTATGTGCCTATTGGTTAACCCAAATGATAATTTACATTCAGCCAAAAAAAACTATAAATACATGAGATTTTGTACTATATTTTGATACTGATTTGGGGAATAAAATTCCTACTTACTAGTCTTTGTCTTCTCTCTTTGCGACGTTGCGGGTTCTATCGTTCAAGTAGTCTTATAGTATGCGGCATAGCAAGAACCAAAGCTCTAGATATAACACTTGGTTAGCTAACTTAGAAGATATTTGATATTCATGTGTATATGCAGACTTACTTGTTGGTTTTGGTTAACAGCAGAAATCTGTCAGATTTTATCTCTATAATGCACCACTGGGGTAGTTGACCATTGACCATTGTGTTGGTCTCTGATAACTCAGGAGTCCTTGTTATCGAAATCATCTATGGTGGAAAACCAAACGTTAATATTCCTTTAGATTATTAGTAGGTGAATATCGTTAATTAGTCGGTCAGCAAATACAATAGTGAGATTTGAAGAACTAGATGATTAGTTTAAGTCTCAATGTGAATATCAACAGGAGAACGAAGGTTCTTCCAACTGACGAATCTAGGATGGGAAGAAACGTACATTTCTGATCCCGGTACTGACCATTATCTAAAACTGTTATATGGATGATAAGTAAAGATGGATATGGGCTAATAGTGGAATTCAGGACGTGCGTTTCGTCCTATTTGGGGCTTATTAGCTGGATGTACCTGCATCTCAGAGTTGATGTTATTGATAGAAACAACATCATCCTATCCTTAATCTCAATCTATATGTATACAATGATAAACAACTCACAATTGATTGATCACTGGGTGGTGACCAATATCATGCGTGTCAAGTCCTTCTTAGCGCTGATCGAATGCTATCGATCAAGTTGCAATGTGGCCACTAGTCTAGGTGGCTCGACACTGCGTGCACTGTATATTGAGATAAGATGGTGGTTGGAGGTGGTCAACAGGTAACGTCTCTAACTGTGAAGCTGAGTTACACGGGATCGAATCCGTCAGGGAGCACCAGTTCCCTCAAGATTACAGTTACACTTTGCTGACGAGTGCAAAGTAGCAGGAAACCCGGGTCCAGGGTTTCCTGTTGACCACCTCCAACCACCATAGTATAACAACTATCCTACAATCAATTTCGATTATGGTTAATTTTGGTTAAGCCTTTTTATTAACTTACATAAAAGACAATTTTATTCGAACAGTAACAGTTGGGATATTTCTTTGTACTGTTATAATCACTATCATATCTGTATAAATGGTTACGTTTGATCATATGATAGCCTATGCATATGTATCTCTCTTTATCTAAAATGTTAATATCTTAAATATCACTCTATAAATTATTCTCTTTCCCATCTATGTATATATATATTCGAATCCTATTATTAGTCTTTACGTTGCCTAACTGTGCCTTAATTCGATTCGACTATAAACCCGCCTCTGTATTTGCTCGCGTACACACATTTACCTCTTTATTTCAAATCCTCTCAATGTTCTTATAACTTTATTGTCTGTAATCAGAAGGGGTTTTATGGAGTGCTCTGACACGAAACTGGTAGGTCCTGGGTTCGAATACCGTGAGGCGTGATCGTGGATGCGCACTGCCTGGGAGTCCCACATTAGGACGAGACGGCCATCAAACAGTGCTTCCTGGTTTTCCATGGTGGTTTAACTTCAATTGACTCATGATTTCAACTATATGAAAATTTATTGTCTGTGTTATATCCTCTAATAAACTGTCGTTTGTCACTCCTTATAACCTCCTCATTTCAAACATCTTTAAGGATTTGTATGTAATAACAGTTATCAAGATGATTGATTAATGAAGTTATGGTACTAAACTGTATTTTAAAAAATATGCTCACTAGTAGCTGACTCCATGAAGTAATTCCTGGAGTTCTAGTGCGAAATCGTAGCTAGTGGATCTAATCCATGTCAGGCAGAGACAGGTATCTACCTCAGTACAATGGAAGTTGGTCACAAAATTTCGTGGATTGGTTGAGGTTAGACATTAACATCGCTGGATGCCGACCAGCTCAGTGGTCTAGAGGTTAAGCGCTCTGGCGCGAGACTGGTAGTTCCTAGGTTCGAGTCCCGTGAGGCAAGGTCGTGG